TTCCTCACGAACCACGGAGCCCCGACAGCTAACCTGCAAAAGCGGGATTGTAGGGATTGGAGGGTGTCTATGTGTGTGCGGGCCGCGTGAGCGAACACCACACTCGCGTAAGTCATGACGGGCCTTATGCAAGTTTTGTAAAGTGTCACCTTGTTCCGAAGGGACATTTTACTCCGCTTACAGATCATGGGGTAGAGTCTACCGAGAATAAACGCGGCACGGTCACGGACTGATTTTATATGCGGGCGGAATGTCATCGATGCATCCAGGGTAACGCCCAGGTACTTGACCTTCCTGGCCCAGGGTATGGGTTGTCTAAAGAGAGTAATCGGGGGTGTGAGATTCCTCCTCCTAATCCGGGAGGAAATCCGTGTGGAGCTTCCCCTCTGAAATAGCACCGCAGTACTTTTCGCTGGGTTGATGTCTATGCGCCATTTTCGGAACCACTGTCCTAGGGCTAGGGCTGCGCTCTGAAGCTTCTTCGCGATTAGGGACTTATTTCTACTAGAATAGTAAACAGTCGTGTCGTCGGCGAATAAAGCTAAATGGGTCGGCGGCGACCGGGGAATATCGTTGACGAATAAGCTAAATAGGAGGGGTGAGAGGACAGAGCCTTGCGGGACTCCAGCTGTGAGAGGTCGTGGGGAGGAGCGGGTTCCCTCGACTCGATATCGAAAAGATTTTTAATTCTGTGACTAATTGGTATTTAAGACAAATAACGCTTACAATGATCTTGAATACGTCTTTTTTTATTATCTTTGTAGGCAAACGAGCACACGGCCCACCTGATAGTGAGTGATTACCGTCGCCCTCGGACTTCAGCAATGCCAGGGGCAGATCCAAGCCGCTGCCTACCGCTTAATACTCACGTTTGATTTCCAGTCATCTCTGCTCTTTGTTTTTACATGCCCTGAACAGAATGGCAGTTAGAAAAAGTAGGAATGTTTCATTAAATTCATTAACGCTTGTGTTCCTGGGCGAAGGGTAGGATAGTCGTTTTTTGTTGCCCTTGTATGCAGACGAGCACACGGCCCACCTGATGATGAGTGGTTACCAGTGTTCGTGAACGTCAACAATGTTAGGGGAAAATTCAAACTGCTGCCTACTGATGAGTAGGTTCCCGTAAGCCTTATTTGAAGAAGGATATGTCACAGCGCTCCGGAAACACCACGGTGGGGAGCTCATTCGATAGGACCTCTTGTGAGTCTGCACGGGTAGGTACAACCACCCTGCCTATTTCTGCCGTGAAGCAGTAATGCGTTTCCGTTTGAAGGATAGGGCAGCCGTTTTAACTATACTTGAGACCTTAGAACTTATATCTCAAGGTGGGTGGCGCATTTACGTCGTAGATGTCTATGGGCTCCAGTAACCACTTAACACCAGGTGGGCTGTTAGCTCGTCCACCCATCTCAGCTTTAAAATAGTAATAAATAATTATCTTTTCAAACATAAACTAAGTTTATTTTTAATTAGTTCTTAGACAATATTACACAACCCAAGCATTTCTTTCCGACGAACTATTGTGACAGCGGTAAGTGTAAGTACAGTTTATTTAAAAAATAATACAACAATGCTTAGTGTTTTGACACGAACTTTTCAATTCTATAAATTGAATTTTTAATATTTTTTATGTTTCAATTTTTAATATTTTGGTCCTTACACGGATAAGCAAGCCACATTATGCTTATTAAGAAAACAGTCATTGAAGCCACTCTTTTATGTATGTATAGTTATCTGCGAC